GAGGTTGAACCTTATAGTCCCAAGTTCTCACAATAACAATCCACAGAATGTTCAGGAGTTGAAACCAAACTGACCAACTGAGGTGCTCCACCGAGGTGTTTCTGATTCCCCTGTTCTCCCCCGGTGTTTGGCAATGGTAGAACTCACACTGGTGGGCTAGTTGGATCCGGTGGTTCTAGACTTGCCAACAACTGACTGAGAGCTTCCCAGCCAGCCAGATCCACCCAGCAACCACATGGTAAACACCCCCTTCAGTCCACATGTTGATGGAATTAAAAGGCAAGAATGAAAACCAGCAGACACTGCAGCCTTTAATGACCAGAGTTGTTCTAAACCTGAGACATGCCAGGACTGTCAGGGGAGGGGTGTGTGTGACAGGTGTGTTAGTGACTGTAGACGGAGCAGAGAGAGGGTGAAACATACTGTCCCCCCTGTACCCCCGCAGTCACAGAACACTCATCACCATGGAGACCAGGAAGAATACAGACCTTGCTGTGTTTCTGTAACCTACCTAAAGCCTTCTGGGGTTCAGACAGACAGACAGACAGAGAGGCTGACAGTTAGACTGCTTCAGTGTGGTGACCAAATTATGGGCAGAAGAACAAGCATCCCCCTCCCTCTCTCTCTCTTCCTTTCGCCCCTAGGTCCCAGGGCTCTCAGTAGCTGTGTGTCATCCCCCTGGGGGCGTCTGTGCTACAATTAGCTGATTATGACGTACACTCCCAGAGTAACCTTACACTTCATAGAGGAGTGTGTGTGTGTGAGTGTGGGTAACAAACACTCAGCCGCAGGGGTTGTAACAGAGATCCATGCCATACACATCCCCATTAACCATTATCCTCAATGGAAAGAGAAGTGCATCCTACAGAGATTTGCCCCAATCAGCTAATCAATAAATCAATTTGATTGATTTAAATGCTTTCCCTGTCGTAGAGACGGGTTTGGCTGGGCCTGGAGTATAGGGCTGGGGCTGGAGTAGAGGACTGGGCTGGGGCTGGAATATGGGGCTGGGGTTGGAGTATAGGGCTGGGGCTGGGGCTGGAATATGGGTCTGGGGCTGGAGTATGGGGCTGGGGCTTGGGCTGGAATATGGGGCTGGGGCTAGAGTATGTGGCTGGGGCTGGGGCTGGAGTATGGGGCTGGGTTGGGCAGTGCGTGAGTGGAATGAGTGTAGTGTAGTGTAACGGCGATGTGCGGTGGATTAGAGCCTGTGTTGTCCCTGCAACAGCAGAAGGGCGTGCTGTAAATCCTGGGCTTTAGAGTTAGCCACAGCCACCGCAGCTTATGATGAAACCAGCTCCCTCTCTATGGCACCACGGGTGGGGGGTGAGAGGGGAGGCGAGGAGGGAGTGAGGAAGGAGAGGAGAAGAGAGAAGTATGTCTTGATGATGTCCATTTTTTAAACATTAATCAGCTTTAAAACACTACAGTTCATCATGTTCAACGCGGAGTGGGGAGATTCACACACACACACACACACGCACACAGTTCCTCTAGGGCATTGCACAGCTCAGAGCCAGCACCTGAGGGCATTACGTTGTTATAGAAATAGTCTAAACAGAGAAGACTAGGTCCAATTTATCACAGGGTTAAACTAGTGTCTATGGACAGGGGGCAGTGTACTGCTGACACACTGACAGCTGGTGGTGGTGATTAGACCATGTAGTCATGATGGAGGGGATCAAAGCTGTTTAGAGAGAGGGGGGAGACACACACACTCACACACAAACACACACACACACACACACACACACACAGTCTGACCTATATGGTGTTCCAAATCAGACCCCTGGAGGGAGACCAGAGGAGGTTTATAGGAAGGTAGGAAGTGTGCTAAAACCCACCCCACCACTCATGGGTTATAGGTGGCAGCAGGGAAAGAGGAGGAAAAATGGGCTTGGGAGTGGGTGAGAGGGGGGAGGAAGAGGGTGGATTATGGGTTGGGGCGTAAATGGATCCCATTATCAGCCACTTAGTGATGGTAGTACAGAGAAGGGGAAATGACTGTATAGCTGATCACACTGTATTCATGTCTTAATACTTTATGAATGTAGTTCTATGATGAATGTAGGCCTATAGTAAGTGGAGGTTTTAGGTGCACTAGTGATGCCTTCTAAATTGTCCCCAAGTGGATTAATAAAGTTGCATTAAATGAAATTGTATTGTATTGTTGTATATTACAGTATATTGTATGGTAACAACTGAACATAGAGCCTACAGAGCGACAGGTGGTGGGAAGGTGAAAAAGAAGGTAAGGTGGGGTCTGAAAGATGAAGTGTGGGGGGTGACAGATAAAATGAACAGGTTACACATTGTTACACACACACACACACACACACCACCACCACCAGCACAAGCACCACCTCTTAATCCAGGATGCTATCCATTTAGCCTGGTTTAAATAACCAAAATGTGCTGGGGTTTCGGGGGAAGGGTTCCACCCAGAGGTCTTTATCCTAGACCTGTCTCAGTGAGTGTACACACACACACACACACACACACACACACACACATACACACACACATACACACACACACACACACACACACACACACAAACACACACACACACACACACACAAACACACACACACACACACACACACAAACACACACACAAACACACACTTACACACACACACACACACACACACACACACACACACACACACACACACACACACACACACACACACACACACACACACACACACAGGATTACTGTAATCCAGGGACATAGGGTATTTTTAGGTCTGTGCAGCCAGAGATCTACACTCATGATAGGCATGGCACACCGATCTAGGAAAACATGCACCAATGTTCTGAAATCAATTAGTTGGGCCTTGGATTGCTTTTGTGGTTAAACTGAATAAACATGTGTGTGCACTGTTGCTTTTCATACAGAATAAAATAAAATAAATGCTTAAGGAAAAAGTCAATTTGCTCATGTATTGAGATTCATCTGTGTAATTCTGCTGAGGGAGAGCTTTCTCATATCATTGCATTGGCCAGAGATACTACTGAATACTGCCACCTGGTGCTTGGGATGACCACAGCAAACACATTGCCTACACTAGACAAACATACATGAGAGATGCCCAACCCTACCCACCTGTCATATATAGGTATATGAAAAGATAGGAGGGGTGTAAGTAATATGGTGGAAACCCAACCAAGCTCCCTGAGTCAGAGTAGAGTGCAGCAGAGCAGACAGAGGAGCTCAGGTGAACTCAGGTAACGAGACCCCAGGGGAGTCCTGATGTGTCCAGGTAACATCGTTTAACACTCGGAGGCTTCTAAAGCACTGCTGTCAAATGGGAGGTCACACTGGTAATTGGTGCAGCATCTCCTGGGCAGGCCCCGCGCCAGAACGAATCAGTTGGACGGTCATTTGATTTCCATGGGCGGGCCCGTTTTTGGTTTTCAGGGAGGTGCCAACAGTCTTCTTTATTAAGATGTAAAAATGCAATTTATACAACGGTTGGGGTTTACATTTTAATTCCCATTGTTATAGAGCATTTCAAAAACATAATAAAATACACAACATAGGTCTACATACTCATGCCCATGTTCCACGTGTTGACTTGGCCTGTTGGCGATCAGTAGGCTTCCTCATTAACTTCCTCATTAACGGTACATTGATCTCTAACTTCAGCATCATGGACAGCTCGGTATATTTGTACGATGCATGGCCTAACTACATGAAATAGCGAAATACAGTAAGATTTCAATTAAATTAAAATGGTTTTACTAACAACACTCCTCTTAGCTGCTCATATCGATATATCCTTTATAATAGGCTAATACACATCTTGATTGCATTTGCAGACCAATTCAAGATGAATTCCGACAGTAATTAGGTAGATTGGGAAGCATCCAAAATAGAATTGCCTCTATATAACTACCTAGTTCACAGAGGAATTTCGCTATGTATGTAAAAAACAGCCCCATTTCTACCACATTCTTGCCGGCATAAGCCTTTTATACCTCCTATGCGCATGCCGGCACCACCATTGACGAGTGGAAGTGTGGGGTGTGGGTGCGCGTCTATTTTAATAAATCCATTGAATATACACCATCACAAAGAAATCCATTATTCGTTCGTCTAGGCATATCCTAAAAAACATAAGTCTAACGACATTTATTTTCTAAAGTATAGAATAGCATATTTTTTTAGTTTAACTATGTTACTGGTCTGTGCAGCCTAGGATACATATGGCTGCGCCATGCAAATTAAATCAATAGTTCTTATTTTGTTCATTAAACGCACACTTACATTCCCCTGCACTGATCACAGTCATCACACATACATTTATAGTAAGATGTAATACAATGGAATACAATAATATAATGGAATACAACAGAATAATATAGAAATCATATTTATCTCATACAACTTGAGTGTCACCGAACGTGTGGAAATGCTGTCAAAAAAGTGGTATTTATCACACCATGCGTTTACCAGTTATTTTTATTAATCCATTGAATAATTACACCATCACAAAGAAATCCATTATTAATTCGTCCTACGAAACATTATAATACTAATAAAATGAGCTATGTGGGCTAGCCACATTGCCATGATCGCCAGCAACTGTAGTAGTGTTTTCGACGAGTGGAGTTTAAGCGGGACCTGTTTCAGCAGATTGTGCATTCTTTTTAAACCAATTTCTAATATCCATTTTGAAGGTAGCCAGGCCTACTGATCACTGAGGCAAACTGTTGTGTTTAACTAACGCTCCACCCACTACTAATTCGAAATGGCGGTAAAAAAAGAGACGTGACCTCATGATGTATATGATAGGTGTACAACCCTGTCAGTCATAATTACTTCAGCCATATTTAATTTAATTTAACAATACAATTATTTTTGAGGTAATATAAACTTTAAATGGCCTAAATATCATACATAAATCAGTGATATAGCAAACAAAAAGTTTAAAAAATAGTTTCATTCAACCATGTATTTTATTTGGACGGACCAGGACAGGCCAGGCCCTCTAAGGCCCGCCCATAACACCGGCCGTGCACCTTGGATGAGTCAAAGCAACACCCAGCTCACCAGGAGAGAGAGAGAGAGAGAGAGAGAGAGAGAGAGAGAGAGAGAGAGAGAGAGAGAGAGAGAGAGAGAGAGAGAGAGAGAGAGAGAGAGAGAGAGAGAGAGAGAGAGAGATACTACCAGTGGAGTCAGGGCAGGTGGGGCAGAGCCCCATATGTTTTGCATGTTATTTTGGCATTAATACGTGTCACATATCAGTTTGCAAACAATGTAAAAAATAAATATAATTGAGTTAATAAAGCCGCATACAAACATGGTCTCTTTTTTTGTTTTCTTGAGTAAGGCAGCTCCAAAATGCAGGTGTTTTAGCCTAGCTCAGTGGTGGTGGAGCAAGCCAGCAGAAAATACAGAGCGTTGCGCCGTGATTGACTCAGTGTTCTGTCACTCATGGGGACACTACATCACGCCAAGTCTAAGGGTAGAGCTAGAAAATTCAAGCCCCTTGGGTGCTGCCATAGAGTTACATTAGAAGTGCCCATCCAACAAGGCTCAAGGTAATTGGCCACAGATAAAATGACGTCAAATCACGATATATGTATAGTAGCTTTGATTGGACTGATCATGTCAACATCATACTTTCAAAATCTTAGCTACCAGTCATCATCATGAATCAGGTAGACAATCTACTGGCAAATCCTTTTTAATCCTTGTCATATGAAGAGAAATAATGAAGAGAAATTATAGATAAAACGTATCGGTGCTCATATTGGACATAAACATTACACAACAAGTTGGAAATCGCAAATTCAACAATGAGTGGTTTGGAAGGAATCGGTGACAGTGGCTAACTGCAAGAATTGCAAAGCAATCACTAGCCTACTATTCAGTGGAGTGGCTGTGTAGTCCCAAATCTGGGATTAAGGGGCTCTTTTCCAAGTTTAAAATGATAAACATTCAACATTGGCCATGCTGTCAATGAAGCATGATTTGTGCCACGCCCAAAACAACTGTTAACTCGGAACTGTGAAAACTTGACTTCAGTGAGTTCAAGACAACTGGGAAGTTGGGAATAAACAAGCTCTGACTGGGAAAATACGTTTTGAACGGTCATCCAACTCGGAATTGTAAATCCTGCCTCTTTCTCTTTGATGACATAATTTGCCCACGAAGGACAGCCGCGCCACCTTCCTGTTCAAGTGAGCACAGCACAACAAGGTGAGTGCAAACATTTTTGTATGCTGCTGCATAAATGATGTAATATGCCAGGGAGATATGTATACTGTAGCTAAGAAAGTAATACTAAGTGTATGTTGTGTAGTAAGATGTTAGTAGCCTATGTGCCTCACCCTAATAATTTGGTCTATTTACCCCTCTTAATTTCGCCTACTGTTCTGACTTGGTGGTGCACATGTAGCCTATAACCTGTTTTAGAGAAATGTAATCGTCAAATATTGTAAGAGCTTTCATTGTCTGCTTATATGCCCCCTTATCCTACGGTTCTGACTTGGTGTACAGGTAGAACACTGTAAGAACGACCCATGTTCTGAATTCTGAAACCACATTTGTTTAAGCAAGTCAGCCATATCAGCTATGTTTTTTTAAAAGGCAGTAAATGAGGCTGAATGAACTGTTTCGCTGCCAGACAAGGCTCTGCTGATAGCCAAGTGTAGCAGTGGTAAGATGATGGGACTGCTGTTGGGACCGCTTTATGTAGGCCCTAACAGTTTGTGGGCACCGTTTGTCACCGTTATAGTGCAATTAATGTACTGTTTACTGTTGTGTTGTGTCGTGGCTTTGCTGGCACGCATCCCACTTTTTTTGTTTTTGCCCCACCAAGATTTACATGTTAAAATCGCCACTGGATAATACTAAAATAAATGGCAACCACACTGGGAGTAATTTTCCCAAAAGCCCTGACTGTTATTTACATTTACATTTTTAGTCATTTAGCAGACACTCTTATCCAGAGCGACTTACAGTTAGTGAGTGCATACATTTTCATACTGGCGCCCCGTGGGAATCGAACCCACAACCCTGCCGTTGCAAGCGCCATGCTCTACCAACATCACCTCTCCCATCCAGAAGGGCACTTACAGTAAGTAATGACTCTGGATCAGTCTACCTCCTCACCCAACAGTTTATCTACAGGTCAGGAAGGAAGACCTAAACAAATACACAGGTCCATCTGCCACTGTATCCTTTGTGTGTGTGTGTGTGTGTGTGTGTGTGTGTGTGTGTGTTAGTCACTAAACTCCAGAAACATCCACAGAACAGCCACTACACTTCTTTGACTAGCTTCATTGCACCACCTAGTGGGCATAGTTAGAACTACAGTTAGAACTACAGAGACAGACAAGCTGTTTGAGGAGAGAAGTGTTTATTAGTCTGACTAGCAGGTGGGTCACAACTTTATCTTTGAAAAAGAGGAGGAAAGAAATATGGTAAAATGTAACATTTTATTAATCTTTTACCTATTTGTTATTACATATCTGCTTTGTTTACATTCAGAAAGTTAAACATTATTTAGATATCTTTGGGAAGATTGAAAGTAAGATTATATTTTTAAAAAAATCTGTGTTCTTACATACATGATTCCATATGTGTTATTTCAACTTGATCTTCTATGTAAGATTCTGCTAAATAACGAACACCTCCTCCAAACCCCGCCACTTCAGACAATAGATACAAATCATGGCAAATAGAAAACCCAAACCCGGCAACAGAGTCTGGCCTTGGGATATGATTCTGGTGAGAAATGATCATTTCTGCTTCTGTTCACAATAATACAGTATATACATAAAAAAACGAGCTTATCAACATATAAATTCTCTCAGACCAGCGATGGCCCTCCAGTGAGGTCAGATGGCTCAGCAGAGGTCACAGGACAGGGGTTAAAGGTCAGTCAGACCATCATGGTTGTTGTGTTACCCGTCAGTGCTGGACTATAGTTCCCCTACAAACACACATCTGAGCCAGGTCTCCCTGGTCCTCCCTCCCACTGAGCCACATATGTCTTTGGGATGGTATGGTACATCTTTGGTCTTCACTTCCATAGATTAGTATCTGCAATGAACACACTCACTGTCACTTACAGGAACATACTGTAACACCAAATTACTTTACTCTTCATGTTCATTCCTGATTTTAGTGTGTATATGTGTATTATATGCATGAGAGTAGGCAAATGCAGATGTGAATGTATGTGTGTGTGTGTGTGAGAGAGTTTCCCCACCTGTAGCAGTTAGGTTTAAAGGGTCCGGTCTTGCTGAGGCCCAGGTATTTGCCCTGCTCATCAGTCAGCTCTGTGAGGTGGGCATCAAACGTTGGCAGGTGGAGACTGGCCACAAACTCATCTGAAAACACACACACACACACACACACACACACACACACACACACACACACACACACACACACACACACACACACACACACAGTACACCCTGTCAAAACCTGTGTAACGAGGCAGTAGGTAGGTGAGGTGGTGTGTCTTACCCATCTTTTTGGGCAGGAGGTAGACGTCTTGTTTGTATCGTCCCTCTGGGGCGTTGTACAGCTCTATCAGAGCCAGCGCCTGAGGGCATTACGTTACGTTATAGAAATAGTATACATAGAAAATATTTAAATTACAAAGAGACTGTGGATACAAAGGCCTGTCCCTTTTCATAACGCATACATGAAGCACTCCACAAAACAGCAGTACAGCTTGTGTGTTTGCTGCGACCATGAGTTATAATAATAATAATAATAATATGCCATTTAGCAGACGCTTTTATCCAAAGCGACTTACAGTCATGCGTGCAGAGACAGACAGACCTGTGTGAGAGACAGACAGACCTGTGTGGTGGCGGTGATGGAGAGGACAAAGGTGGGCACCGTGGAGCAGATCAGATTCAACAGACGACCCTGAGAAAACACACAAACACTGTGAATTACACACACACACATACCAGTGATCACACACCTGACACACACTCAGGCAACAAGCATACACACACACAGACACTCACTTCAGCCAGTAAGATGATTCTCTTGCCATCGGGCCAGATAACATGGTCCACCTGTGATCTCACTTTCTCCCAGGTCAACTCTGGGGTCCGCAGACTCACCTGACAGAGGAAAAACACAGTCTGTCAACCTCAAACACACACACACACACACATACAGACACTCACAGATGTAGGATGTTAATTTGAGCCAGTTTGCTACAGCAGAAAAATCCTGCAGCAACAGGAAATGTGAATTATTATACGGATCAGCAACAAGAGTGATGAAATTAAGATCCTACATCTGTACACACATGCACACACGCACGCACACGTCTCACCACGTCTATCTCAGTGTTGGAGTGTCCCATGTTACAGACGATGCAGCCGTTCTTCATCCTGTCCAGGTACTCTCTTGCCACCACGTTCTTGTTGCCTGAAGACAAACACTGAGGCTTTCATAGTCTGTCATAAACTGTCATAGCCTGTTATAACCTATCATTGCCTATCATAACCTAACCCTCATAACCTAGCTGTCATTGTAAATAAGAATTCATTCTTATTGACCTGCCTTGGTAAAATAAAGGTAACAAAAAAAAAACTTGTCATCATAGCTGGTGATAACCTATCATAGCTTGTTCTAAGTTATTATATAGGGGTTAGGATTAGGGTTGGAGATGGAGATGGAGTTAGGACTGGGGCTGGAACTAGGGTTAGGGCTAGGTTCTGAACGCTAACCATAACCCTAATTTGGCATAACCCTCACCCTAATCTTGGCATAACCCTAACCCTAGCTTCATGTCCACATTCCGGTTCTAACCTAACTGGAGCCTCAACCCTAACCCTAGCTTCATGTCCACATCCCAGTTCAACCCTAACACTAGCCTCAACCCCAACCCCTACAGCCTGATTTATACCCTACGTACGCATGGAAGAAATACAAGTAGCTATGCAAAACGGCATTGCATCGCAAAACTACGCAGATGTGTGCAGTCAATTCGCAGAATCGCCATTTTGCTTAGCATTCTTGCATTGTGTACATAAGGTATTAGGCTAAACCCTAATTCCAGTTTAGTGTCCTTTTATCCAATTTTAAATCCTACTTTTTATCTTTCACTTTCATCTTTGAACCCGTAAGGTGCTGGCTCTCCCTTTGACCTGTTACCGGAAAGCTCCGGCTCAATTTAACCACTGGTCATAACCTATAATTGCCTGTTATAATTTATCACAGTCTCATTACAGGACCACTGAAAGGGTTGGTAACCCGAGAAACACTCCTACTGGAGAGTACACATTTATAGGTACATTTTTGGCTTTAAAAGCACTCTAATCTAATTCTATAGCTAACTCTTTGGAGCTGTAGTGTGTGTGAGTGAAGGCTTTCCTAGCCTACAGTCTCTTTACTGGACCATTCACAGGACCTCTGTGGGTGATGACATCATGTCTTACCCGTGCAGGTGATGACCAGGTCCACCTGTCTGATGACCTCATTGAGCTTGACCAGTCTGAAGCCGTCCATGCTGGGGCAGGGAGAGGAGAGGAGACATAAACACAAATAGTTCAAGACTTGCTTCTGCCACCTCCCCTACCAGTCAAAAGTTTGGACACACCTACTCACTCAAGGGTTTTTCTTTATTTTTACTATTTGTACTATTTGTAGAACAATAGTGAAGACATCAAAACTATGAAATAACACATATGGAATCATGTATGTAACCAAGAACGTGTTATACAAATCAAAATATATCCTATTTTTGAGATTCTTCAAATAGCCACCCTTTGCCTTGATGACAGCTTTGCACACGCTTGACATTCTCTCAACCAGCTTCACCTGGAATGCTTTCCAACAGTTTTGAAGGAGTTCCCACATATGCTGAGCACTTGTTGGCTGCTTTCCCTTCACTCTGCGGTCCGACTCATCCCAAACCATCTCAATTGGGTTGAGGTCGGGGGATTGTGGAGGCCAGGTCATCTGATGCAGCACTCCATCACTCTCCTTCTTGGTAAAATAGCCTGGAGGTGTGTTGGGTCATTGTCCTGTTGAAAAACAAATGATAGTCCCACTAAGCCCAAACCAGATGGGATGGCGTATCGCTGCAGAATGCTGTGGTAGCCATGCTGGTTAAGTGTGCCTTGAATTCTAAATAAATCACAGAGCACCCCCACACCATAACACCTCCTCCTCCAAGCTTTAAGGTGGGAAAAACACATGAAGAGATCATCCGTTCACCCACACCGCGTCTCACAAAGAGCAACTTTCCAACGGTCTAATGTCCATTGCTCGTGTTTCTTGGCCCAAGCAAGTCTCTTCTTCTTATTGGTGTCCTTTAGTAGTGGCTGATTCACACAGTCTCCTCTGAACAGTTGATGTTGAGATGTGTCTGTTACTTGAACTCTGTGAAGCTTTTATTTGGGCTGCAATTTCTGAGGCTGGTAACTCTAATGAACATATCCTCTGCAGCAGAGGTAACTCTGGGTCTTCCATTCCTGTGGCGGTCCTCATGAGAGCCAGTTTCATCATAGCGCTTGATGGTTTTTGCGACTGCACTTGAAGAAACTTTCAAAGTTCTTGAAATGTTCCGTAATGACTGACCTTCATGTCTTAAAGTAATGATGGACTGTCGTTTCTCTTTACATATTTGAGCTGTTCTTGCCATAATATGGACTTGGTCTTTTACCAAATTGGGCTATCTTCTGTATACCACCCCCCCTACCTTGTCACAACACAACTGATTGGCTCAAACGCATTAAGAAGGAAAGGAATTACACAAATTAACTTTTAAGAAGGCACACCTGTTAATTGAAATGCATTCCAGGTGACTTCCTCATGTCACGCTCTGGCTCCGGGACTTTGTATGTTGAGCCAGGGTGTGTTCGTTTCGTTGTGTTCTGTTTGGTTGGGTTGTCTATGTGGTTGTTTCCTTGTTTGGTCGTGTGACTCCCAATCAGTGGTAACGAGTGTCAGCTGTCGGCTCGTTATCTCTGATTGGGAGCCATATTTAAACTGTGTGTTTTCACCTTGTGTTTGTGGGTTTTTGTTCCTGTACAGTCATTGTCACTGTGGACTTCACGTATCGTCATTTGTTTTGTTGTTTTCGTGTTTAGGCTTTAATTTAATAAAGTCATGTTCACCTTCAATGCTGCGCATTGGTCCTCCTCATTAGACGATCGTGACAGAAAAACCCACCAAGATGGGACCAAGCAGCGTGTCCAGGAGCCGTCGCCAGGGAGATCCCTCACAGATCTCCTTCGCCTCCTGGACTGGGTCAAGCCGAGTGAGGAGGAGAAGGGCTTGACACTATGGCAGAAGGGCGAGAGGCTGGCGAGGGATATGGAGACCTGGTCCACGGGTAGGAGAGACGCCCCGAAAATTTTTAGGGGGGGGCTCACGACGTCGGACCAGCAGGAGGCCGCGATAGAGCGGCCCAGTGGGTTGCTGGAGAAGGCCGCCGGGTTACGGGGGCCACTGGTCGAAGAGGGGATGGAGGAAGTAGAGGCACGGCGAGAGGTACTGGCGTGTGTTGCCAGTCCGGTCCGGCCCGTTCCAGATCCCGGTGTAGGGCCAGTGGTGTGTGTCCCTAGTACAGTCCGGTCCATCCAAGCTTCCCGCACCAAGCCAGTGGTGTGCGTCGTCAGTCCGGCACGGCCCGTGCCTGCTTTCCGCATCAAGCCTGTGGTGCGTCTCGTCAGCCCGGCTCTGCCCGTTCCTGCTCTACGCACCAAGCCAAAGGGGTGCGTCGCCAGCCCAGCCCGGCCTGTCCCTGCTCTACGCACCAAGCCAAAGGGGTGCGTCGCCAGCCCAGCCCGGCCGGTTCCTGCTCCACGCATCAAAACTACGGTGTGCGTCGCCGGCCCAACCCGGACTGTTCCTGCCACTCGCACCAGGCTAAGGGTGCGAGTCGTCAACCTGGGTCAGCTCGTTCCGGCTACTCGCACCAAACCAAGGGGGCGAGTCGTCAACATGGTTCAGCCTATGCCTGCTACGCGCACCAAGCCAGGGAGGCGAGTCGTCAGCCTGAGGAGGTCCGTTCCGGCTCCACGCACCAAGCCGAGGATGCGTATCGTCAGCCAGGTCCGGTCCGTCCCTGCCTCACGCGCCAAGTTAGGGGTGCGCGTCATCAGTCCGGATCCAGCCAGCTGGGTTGGATCGGACCGGGGCCATTACGGGGGGATGGATGTAGGATGGTGGTCAAGCCCGGAGCCAGAGCCGGAGCCGCCTCCGAGGAGCAACACCCACCCAGCCCTCCCCTATTTGGGTTCTTTGAGGCGCGGTCGCAGTCCGCGCC